AACAAGAAGGTAATAATCCTAAATATACATGCACCCAACACCAAAGCACCCAGATGCCTAAAACAAATACTACTTGAGCTAAGAAAAGAGAGAGACAAAAGCTCAACAATAGTGGGAGTCTTCAACATCCCACTCACAGCACTAAACAAATCATTCAAACAAAAAATCAACAAAGAAACATGGGACTTAAATTGGACATTAGACTAAATGGATCTACCAGACATTTATAGAATATTCAATCCAACAACCACAAAATATACTTCATTCTCATCAGCACATGGAACATTCTCCACGATAGACCATATGTTAGGCCACAAAACAAGTCTCAATAAGTTTTTTAAAAATTGAAATCATATCAAGTATCTTCTTACATCACAGTGGAATAAAACTAGAAATCAACCATAAGAGGAACTGCAATCCCACTGCTGGGTATCTACCCAGAGGGAAAAAAATCATTACATCAAAAAATGCCTCCACTTGCATGTTTATGGCAGCACAATTTGCAATCACAAAGGTATGGGATCTAAGTGCTCATCAACTAATGAGTGGATAAATAAAATATGGTGTGTATACACACACACACACACACACACCATGGAATACTACACAGCTGTAAAAAGGAACAAAATAATATCTTTTGCAGCACCTGGTATGGAACTGGAAGCCATTAACTTTAGTGAAGTAACTCAGGAATGGAAAACCAAATATCACGTTCTCACTTATAAGTATGAGCTAAGCTATGGCTACACACGCACGGTCATACAGATATTGAAGGATATCTGTGGTATAACAGATACTGAAGACTCAAAAGGGTGGAAAGTAGGATGCAGGTGAGGGATGAAAAATTACCTATTGGGTAAAATGTACGGTATTCAGATGATGCATATGCTAAAGACTTTACCACTATACAATATATCCATATAACAAAACTCCACTGGTACACTTTTATCCCCTAAATCTAATGAAATAAAAAAAGAATTAAGATTTAGTGAATGGGACATGCTTAATCACTCTCGTGGTATATAATTAAGAAATTCAGACAGAAATTGATTTTTTAAATGAAGATTCTGGAGGCAATTATTCAATTTTAGGACTGTAGGGCCAATATGAAATTTTCAAAAAATTCTAGCATCATAGGTATGTAGGAACATTGCTTGAAGAACAAAAGGTAATACGGTGGTATTTTAGAGCTAATAAAAATAATAATATTAGAATGTATGTTATTCATGTGGACATTGGGACCAATAGAGGGCATTCCTTTCAAAAGCATTGCACAACTTTAGTATCTTTTGCCTGGGTTTCTAAACCTTAGAAATAAACTTCACCTTTGAAATACCTATGTCAGTTTTCCCCTTTTACTGTCAACTGAAAACAAAAGTATTATACCATCTCAACCACCTAGCTCCTAAATAGAAGATTCAGGATTTCGTTTTAAAAAAAAAACTTATTCAACAGGAATAATGTCAACCCTTGGTAAGGTCCCAGTTTTTTGGCTGGCAGTTCAGGGCTCCCCAGTTTTCCAATTTCTGTTCCTATTGCACAAGCATTGCTAATGTGGTTTCCTACGTGCAGGAATCAGCAAAAAAAGAAAAAGAAAAGAAATCAGATGTTGCCATTCATCTGGTGACTGATGAAATTTAGCTTGTACCTGACCTGGAAAATCCCAATCTGTTTCTACAGTGATTCAATTCTACAGATTCTGAAGAACTGAGGACTAATGCTTAAAATGTTCCTGACCCTCAGCCCACAGCAGGTCTGAGCATACGATACAGTTGTGTGGGGGAGTCCAGTTGTCCACAAGCTAAGAAGAGACCAGGTGAACTGCTCTTTGAAGGACTTCAAGCAGCATCATGTACAGGCAAACTGCCGCAGCCTGGCTATATCATGTCTGTGTCTCACGGAGCCTTAGAAACACACTAGGGGAAACTGCTAGAAAGCTAAAACCATTTGTTGATAAAAGGGATTCTGCCAAGCTGTAAATTCGTGTTCTTTATTCTACACATAGACAAGGTCAGAGGACTATGTGTTTCCCTGATTATCAGAGGTTCCCAGGGCAAAAAAAAAAAAAAAAAGATATGTACAGGCTACATAGGGCAATTGGAAAGAAAACACCATGAGAGGGTATGAGCATGGGTGTTGAATACTTTCAACATGGTCTCCACTATTATTAAATCTTTGATGCCTAAATATACAATAGTTTTTATAACAGTAAAGTAAAAGTCTGCTTTGCTAAGGAAAATTCTGTAGGAAAATTGTTCTCCAACTTGAATGCACATTGGAATCACCTGGAGAGATTTTAAAATACTGATGCCTGGGTCCCACCCTCAGAGACCATTGTAACATAATTGTCATGGGTTGTGGTCTGGACATTGGGGATTTTTTGAAAGCTCTCCAGGTGATCCAAATTCACAGGAAAGTTCAAGAACCACTACTTTTGGAGAACCATTCCAAGGACTACCATGGCCATCCACCCAGGTTTTTTTTCTTTTGTGAGTTCCCATTTTTTACAGAAACAGCTTAATTGACCTGCCTGGACCTAACCTGGTTTCTCTTCCTGCCCTTCTGAGTTGCTCTTAATATCTCATTTGATTTAAATGCTTTTGAAAGCCTCAACCATCTTGATTGCAACTTCATTAGAGACTTTGAGACAAAGTTACTCCCAAATTCCTGATCTATAGAAAAGTAAGATAGTAAATGCTTATTGTCTTAAACCAGGTTCTAAATAATTAGTTACATAGCACTAGACAACTAAGATCCTATTCTAAGCACTTGGCATTTTTTAATTCATAATAACCCTTTAATCTATTAGGGTAGGGTTTGCCATGTTAAGAACCTCCAGCCTACCTATCTGCCTACCAAGCATCTTATCCCCATTTTGGGTGGGGAAACCAGGACACAGAAAGGCTAATTAAATTGTCCATGGTCACACAGTTAATAATCATGTGAGTGGAGATTCAAATCCAGAAGGTCAGGATCCAGTGCGTTGCTCTCAACCACTACACTGCTGTCTCTCAGAGCAGTTAGAACACATGTCTGAGGCTGCATGACAGATAGCTTCAGGAAACCACTGAAGGCCCATGCCTTCACCTAGGATCAACTGAGACAGAATCTATAAGGTACTGATGGTCTTTAGGTAACCCCCACCTTCCATGTGATTCCAATGTGCACCCAGGGAAAAGAACCAAAGGTAGAGCTTTGCTACTCCAAGTGTGGGTCCAGGAACTTGTTAGAAGAAGAATTTGTATTTCAGCAAGATTTCCCAGTGCCTTGTACAACATTAAAGTTCAAGAACACTGCTGTAATCCCTGCCCCAGACCACACTGAGTAATGGGCAGCAGCTGAACATCAAAACAAATTGGCACACCTGGAATTTTCTGCAGCGTCTGAAATAGGGTGCATAGAGAAAAGCTAAGCTTAGCATTTTATAAAGTGGTTCTTCAAAATACCAGAAAGACAGGATAAAAGAAAACTTGGGAAGACAGGTGGGAAAAGCAGAAGAGAACAAATAACTTTTCTCTGTGTCAAAGAGAAATAAAGAACTCCAGGGAGTGATAAGTAAAAATTAAGGTGTCAGAGAAAGCCTGGCTGAAAAGACAAAAATCAAACAAGACAGCAAAATTGCCTCTCATCGGTTTGAGGCCAGTGGTAACTGTATACTCACTGTATGGCTTTGGAGTTTTCATGAAAGGAATGTGAAAAACTGCTTTATTCTAGCCTTATCTGTTTATAGTAAATAACATGCCAGTAAAAGTTAACAACTTAAAAGGAATGAAACAAAACTTCTTACTTTTGCCCTATTCAGTTATCAGTAGTATAATTATAACTAATCCTCAGTTATGGATAGCTGGCTTTATGACATACCCATGGACTTTAAATTTTATCAAAGCCACACGTTATTTAAAAATTCAATCACATGCAGCATTTCCTTCATTGTCCACAAAGTTTCCAGGAAGGTGGGAAAAGAGTGCCATATTAGTCTATAGATGGGAAAATGAAGGTCTAACGAGACTATTAGTAGCATCCTTCTCAAAATAGGACAAAATAGGACACTAGAACCCACTCCCCATGTGGCTGCTTAGATAGCAGAAGTCTCTGCTACTTCCCCAAAAGAAGATATAACTTAAAGGGTAAATCCAACAGCATTTGCAACATAGATAGCAGTCTAGCAGTGGTTGTAAAACATTTTAGTGTTCATTGTATCCCCTGGAGGGCTTGGTTTCAAAACAGATTGCTGGGCGCCATCCCCAGAATTTCTGACTTAGTAAGTTGGGCGGTAGCCAGAGAATTTGCCTTTCTAACATGTCTCCAGGTGATACAGATGCTCCTGGTCCCAGGGTCCCATGTTGAGAGCCACTGCAATATAATATGGTGAATAACACTACAGCCTAGTGTTAAGAAGCTAGAACTCTGAGCCTGTGTCATGGCTGAAATCCCAACTCTGCTTCTTCCGAAATGTGTGACCTTAGCAAGTCACTTAACCTCTCTTTGTCTCTATTTCTTTATTTGTAAAATGGGGACAGTCACAGCAGTATCTCTTAGGGTTGTCAGAATGATTAAAAATGTTAATTCATCTAAATGGCACAGAACCATTCTTAGCAAATTATAAAAGCTTTCTCAGTGTCAGCTGTTAGTATCAATGCATGTTGAAGAGAAAAATTTATTTTTATACTAGCTTTACTCAGCATGAATGCTTCCTCAGCAGAGCTAAAAAAAAAAAAACCCTCATTTTATTTACTTATTTATTCAGTTATTTTATTGTAAATATAATTACCAGTCTTGTTCACAAATGCTTCATATGAAACAATAATCCATCAAATGAAAGAATAATATGGTTTTCTGTGACTTAAAACATATTCCAGAATGTATAAGCAGATCTTGCCACAAGTCTATAGTTATAACAGAATCAAAAGACATATTGTTCTTTACAAAACACTCTTGTACACTGCAATTGTTCAATAATTATTTAATAATCCATGCTATGGCATAAAAGTAGGAATTACCTGCCAGGAAAAGGAAGTGAGAATGTCAGGTCACAGCATTTTGGAGCAGGAAGAACACAATGCAGGAGCAGAGACGATCCAACACCATGGCAGACTGGATCCAAGATGGCCGTCGCTGCTGTGCATGCTGGGAGAAGCAGCCAGCAAAAGCTCAACGTCTGGAACTCTGGATCTAGAATGAGCTAAGGCAGAACCAGCTGAAAGAATTTAGAAATAAATATTCAGACACACAGACAGACCAGAAAAGGCAAACCCAGAGTTCAAAGAGGAGGAGGAGAAGGCTGGTAAATGGAGGGATCTGGCATTGCCTGAAGGATCCATAGGCAAGAGTTTAAGTCCACTTGCAAAAGATACTGCAAACATAGTACTCTCTTCCTATCATGAAAATATCACAAATCAAACTCTTGGCCCTCCATCTTCTGGCCCCATGCTCTTCCACCTCTGTTTCCTACTTTATCTTAACTACTTTTTGTCCAGTCAGTCCCACTGCTTGCAATTTTCCTGAAACATAATGGATGCTGCAGCAGCCATGCCTGTGCTAATACTAGTATCTTGACTTGAGGCAGGCTCCTCTTCTTACTGAATCCTTTTCACCCTTTAAAGCCAAGTCAAAATCCATTTTTTCTGTTTTCCAAAGGAAAATTAATTTCTCCTTCCTCCATGCTCATATTGCTTCTTTTTAGTCATTCTGTTAACACATAACACCCTGCCTCATGGTACCTGAACTGGTGTCTGCCTGACATTCTCACTTCCTTTTCCCTGTGCCTCAGTCCTAAATTACTCGAGGTATGGTACCAGTACTCTGAACATAGGGCCTGACAGTAGTAGATGTTGCAGGGCTCTCTGAGCTCTCCATTCTCCATCAGGTCCAGGGTTCTTTCTGTAAGCACTTGTGGATCTATGTCAGAGATTTTTCTCTTGTGACTGGATTGTGCTTGGCTATGCAGAGGAAAAATAAGAACTATGGAATGAATGCCCCTAAGAACAGCCCTCAACCAATTATGGTCATGGATTGGTGGATTATTACCCAAAGCTCCCTTCCTCTTAGATAGAACAACTCTGAGATGCGTGTTCTACACAGTCTCTGAGAGGTTCCCAACAAGTTTGAGCCCCAGTTGTTTTGAGCAATAATTTACTCACTAATGTGCCCTATATTGGTTCCTTCTCATCTCCTTCTCACTTCCGTACTTCTCTGTTGGTGTTTCCCAGAATCACCTCTCAAATAAACACCTATTCTGGAATCCTTGTCTTAGAGTCTATCTTGAGGAATTGAATCTAAGACAATGCTCAATAAATATCAGTATTTCGTTAGATGACCTATATTCATGGAAGAGATAAGACCAAAAGGAAAGAGAAGAAACTCCAAGAATGGTAGATGAATGTTAGGATAAATTCTCAGAGGCAAGACTGAACAAGTGGCTTCAGAGCCTTTCCTGGCCTGGAGGTTACAGGTTGTAGAGAGGGACAGTCAAGTCTGAACAGATAGACCAGATGAGAGCAAATTTTTATGATGCTGATCTTCCCCGTAAAATCCTCAAAGTTTTTCTCATGGGATTCTTTGTGGAACAGCTACACATAAATTTATTTATTAAAGTATTTTAGCATTATGGGATTAAGACATAGGTACTCTCAGAAAGTGTACAGAAATACAACTAAGAAAAATGTCTTCAGTTATAGAGGTGATGGTGTGTTAAATGGGGCCCTTTCTCTTATCTCAGAATTTCAGTGAAAGGCGCAAAGAGGAGAACCATATCAGTAAGCATAGGCAGGGTAAATCTGCAGTAACAAACACCCTCAAAATCTCAGTGCTTTAAAAGAAATATTTGGTTTTTTGAATACACTACATGTCTAAGGCAGGTTTGTGGAAGGCTCTGCTCCGTTTTGTCACTCAGAGACCCAAGCTGACAGAGGCTTACATCATCTTACCACTCCAGTATCTCAAAAGCAAGTCTTCACAGTTTGCCATAAATGAAGAAAAAAAAAACAGTGAGGAGTCAAGCACTGGCAGTTAAATGCTGCCATCCAGTAATGAAATGCATGTTTATTACTCACATTTCATTGAGTCACATTGCCAGTCACATTGCCACACCTAACTCAAGGGCAACAGGAAATTTTAATCATCCATGTGCTTCACAGTGGAGATGAACCACATATTGGAGAATGTTATATAACACAGCTTTGATATTATTAATATAACTGAAGAACAGCCCCTCAAAGATTTCCATGTATTAACCCCCAGAACCTATTACTATGTTGCCTTACATGCAGAAGGGACTTTGCAGATGTCATTGAACTAAGAACCTTATGATAGAGACATTATCCTGAATTATCTGGGTGGGCCAAATATCAGCACAAAGGTCCTTATAAAATGGGCAAGAAGGTCAAAGTCAAAGACAATGGAAGCAAAGAGGGAGATTTGAAGATGCATTGCTTCTGTCTTGGAAGACTAGGAAGAGGCCACTAGCCAAAGCATGCAGGTGTCACAAGAGGGTAAAAGTAGCAAAAACAACAGGTTCTTCCCTGGAGCTTCATGCAGGAACTGCTGACACATTGATTTTTAGCCCACGGAGACCAAATTTAGATTTCTGGCCTCCAAATTTTAAGATAAATCTGTGTTGTTGTAAGCCGCCAAGTTTGTGATCATTTGTTACAGCAGCCATAGTGCAATAGACTGAATGTTTATATTCCCCCAAAATTCATATGTTGAAATCCTAACCCTCAAGGTGATGGTATTAGTAGGTGGGGTGTTTGGGAGGTGATTAGGAGTCAGATTATTGCCCTTACAGAAGAGGCTTCAGAGAGATCCCTCACTCCTTCCACCATGTGAGGTTACAGTGAGAAGCATGTATATGGAGAAGCAGACCCTTCCCAGACATTGATTCTGCTGGCACTTTAGTCTTGGACTTCCCAACCTCCAGAACCATGAGAAATAAATGTGTGTTGTTTATAAACTACCCAGTCTATGGTAATCTTTATAGCACCCTGAATGGACTAAGACATATAGGAAACTAGTAAGACAGCCATCCTTCAGGACCTTTTAAGACGTGGTCAGACTGCTTGTCTGACTATCAATCTCCATCACCCACCCCCAACATAAATCAGAGAAAATTAGAAGCTTGAAAAGGGAGTGTTGGTAGTAATTTATTGGAGTAGAAAGTTTTTTGGCTTTTCTTCCTGCATCTTGCCCCAGACCAAGGGAAAAGGGACTTCCAGTAGAACTCCTCATAGAGAAAGTGGTGCCAACAAGACAGGGAGACTGGCTTCTCACTCCCTGTCAGAAAACATAAACGTGAAAGCCCATTTGGTGTGGCCACTAGGGCAGAGCATGTGAAAGAGTTCTTGGAACCTGATGCATGTCACCGGGAATTTGGAGCATAAACAAATATGGAGACTGATGTCTGCTTCCTGCCAGGAGAAATCCAAATGTAGGGGGTGAGTGACTAGCTACAGCTATCTGCCATGAGCAAGGCAAAGAGGAAGCAAATGTCATGTGTTGAAATCTTAGTCGCCAAGGTGATAGTATTGGGAAGTGATTAGGTCATGAGGGCAGAACAAGTTTTAGGTCATCTTTTAGTAGGGTAAGGATGCCTGAGTAGATTGACCGAGGAGATAAGCCTGGAAGATAGCCTGGCTTAAGGCATCTGACGGTACCGAGAAGAGGGCTGCTTTCAGGGCAGAGAGAGAGGCTGTGCAGGGTATACAGCTAGGACAGGGAGGGCAGGAGCTGAGGAGAGGTCTCAAAAGGTCAAGCAAAGAGTGAATCAACAGCTTGAGGTATGGAAAGTACAAGAGTTCCCCAGTGATAATATCTAAGAAATGCATAAATTTATTCCACAAAAGAGTCAGTATTTGGGCACCCGCTATCACAGAGGAAATGGTGGCCAACAGGTGTCAGCCAAGAGAGGTACACTGAGCACTAAATTAAAAAAATTTAAAAAATAAAAAAAAAATTTTTTAAAAAAGCAGGAAATGGGATGCAGAAGTGGGATGGTGAAAAAATAGACCATCAATCCTTCATTTTTTCCAGACCCTGAGCCATGAGTCTTCAGGCCTGAGCTATAGGAGAAGAACATATTTTTAACAGCATGCAAGATTAACAAGATTGACTTAGTTTGGACCATATTTATAACACAGAAATGAAACTGTTCTTACAGCTGAAAGTGAACAAAAAGCTGTCATTAGGGGAAGGAGAGGCCAGAGAAATGCAACAGAGAATTTTGAAGTCAGTAATGGAAGGAAAATAAATCCATTTCCTGTTTTTGCTTCCATCAAGTTAGGCTCATTCAATAAACCAGCTATATAAGCCAAAACAAAATGTTGCACAAATTTTTACCATCCCATTCTTCTTTCTGTGATAGAAAAATAGGATGGACAATATCAATTTTTTATCTATTTTATGTTCTCTATATCACTGGTCATTAGAAAGTAACTTTTCAAAGCTAGCTTTATAAGTATCTAGTATGGTCTCTATTACAAATAGCAGAAGACTCCAATAAAGAATGCTTAAATAAATACAAACTTTCATTATTTTATGTAACTATAAGTGGGGCAGCTCCAGGATTGGTTAATTCAAGACTCAATGACATCATAACCTCAGAGTCTGAGATTATCTTCCCTCATAGTCACAAAATGGCTGCTGAAGCTCTACTAACACATTTTCACTTGACAATGTCCAAAGATAGGAATACAAGCATATCTTTCCCTCTGCTCTCCTTTTAAGATCAAAGAAAACATGTCCAGATGCCCTTCATCCAACTTCCCTTCAGTGCCACTGACAAGAATTGGGTCACATTCCATGCTGAAATCACTCACTGGAAAGGAGAATAAAACTACCACAGTCGGCTTGAGCTTAACAAGATTCACCCCTGGGACCAGAATGGACTGAAGCCTATACATGATACATGAATAAAGTGTGTTCTCTTAAAAGGGTGAGGAAGCAATGACTGCTGGTAGGCAACCTGCACATCATGGAAAGTAGAGAAGATTATTTATCCTGCCAGGCCAAAAGAGGTGATGTCTCAGGTAAGGTTTCTAGAAGCAGAGCCTGAGACACAATTTATTGCAGGAGGGCCCTCAGGAGAAGGGGA